ACCAGATATGTTGATACTTGTGAGTTTTATTTTTTCCGTACCTTGCGTAATTCCTTAACATTTTTCTACCTTCGTAACTATTCTTCGTTTTGAATCGGAAGTGTGTGTTTGCTGTTCCATACTACATTCTCTGCAGATAAAAATGCTATGTCTTACCTGTAGTCTTGTAATTTTTTGCAGAAGCTCAATTGATCTAAAGAAAGTTGAATTCGAAAGTATCTGCTTAGCTATGAAGAGCCAATTTGTTTGCAGGACGAGCCCACCAACAATCTGGACATCGAATCTATAGACGCACTTGCCACAGCCATTGAAAATTTCGGTGGAGGCGTAGTAATGGTTACCCACGATGAGCGCTTAGTGCGGGCAACCGAGTGCACCTTGTGGATAGTTGAGGATCAGGTACCCTAACTAAGACATTTCAATGATATCTGCCCTTCAATTGACTTTTTAAGAATATTTCGGAGATAGATGGCGATTTTGATACATACAAGAAAGAAGTCTTGGATGCTCTTGGTGAAACTCTTAGTCATTAGCTTGTTTTCCAAGTGGTTGTCTGTTCAAATGGGATATGGTCAGTTGTGCGGACAGCTTTGCCGCTAGTCAACCGGTTTCCGTCATTGTTGATTTTCAAAGTTTTATTGCTTTTTGGTTTGTTGATTTTTGCCGGTCCTTATAAAGTAATGTATAATTTGCGACGATGGTTTTCATGCGTAATTCTGCATATCACGAGGTGAAAAGTTTTATTGATTAAGTAATTTCTAGTTTTTCTTTTTCATGCAAAACTCCTTGCAGTCATTATAAGTTTTGAAGTTATTATAATTGCCCCCAGTTCCGAAATAACTGAATCGTATGCAATTAGAAAGTCCCGGTTGATAAACGTATCGTCCATAATGTTTTCGCGTTTCTGTCTCCGAGCCTGATGATGACGGTAAAGAGCATATGTAATCTGAAAGTTTTGCATTTGGATTATACTTCATCTTATCAATCAACTTACCTTTCATCGGGCAACATTTGTTGTTTTTGTTGCAAGCGTAGCCCACTTCACAACCTTCGTTACAGCTCTTAGCTATGTCTGGGATTTTCGCATCTGTTGGTAATTTGCACTCATCCACTGAAAATACACGATCACGCCCACACTGAACGCACGATTCGGCAACCTTTGATTTTAGAGTTAATTCCAGTTTCTGTTGATCATTCTTTACACAGTCTGCATAATCAAGGTTACATCAAATTAT